CTTTCATATATGAAATAATAAAATGATATTAGTACTCTTTCTATTTCTTTTTTTTAATGCTGAATGACTGCATTTAGGAAAATTATACTGGTGATTATATGGTTAAAGTTATAGAATTCAAACTTTAAACTTTTTAATAAAATCTGAACAGATGATCTGTGCTTTTTTTTTTTTTTTTTTGGAACTGGCAGGTTTCAGGCCCTCTAATTGGCTTCCCAGCTTTGCAGAGTAATTACAGCTTCAAGCAAACTTTGTCATCTGTGGTTCAGAATGGTGTAAAGTAAACAGAACGTTTTGAAATACAGTTTGTAGTTAGAGTTGCTCAGGAGAGTTTTAACTAGCATAACTACTTAATTTAGATAGTAGCAGTTATTTGAAAAAGATAGTCTAACATTTTAGAATTGTTGGGTTGGTTGTAGATATGGAGATGAAAGTTAACCTCTGGTATGTACCTGACCTTTGTGGGTTTTTTTTTGGTTTTTTTTTTTTTGTTATTTTTAAAAAAGAGAAATTCAATGCTAGAGAAACATCCATTTTATTTCTTTATACTGTCTTAATTTAATTTTTTTCCATTTTCTGTATACATCCAGAAGTGGCCAAAGCAGTGTTACACACTTGTTGGAACAGAGTTATCTATTCCCGTTACTGATTTTGTATTTTACTGCTTTGAACAAGTGTTCTCCCTCAAGGTTTTTCCTTCCCTCTAATTTTAAAGGGGAAAATTCTCATGACTGATGTTTCATCCCAGGAAGACAGAAATCTTTAGTATTAAAATGTGTAATTCCAAGTCGTAGATGGCTAGCATACAAGAACACAAAGTTGAGTCTGTCTGTTTACTGGCTTACTCATCTTTTTGAATGATAATTTAGACTTCCAACTGTTTTGAGTTGAGATTCAACCCTTTAATTACATATGTTTATGTATAGTAGCAAACTTGAAGACATTATGGTAGAATGTTCTCAACTCTTGGTAATGACCCAACTATCACTCGAGCATTCGGAGCCAGCTCTCAGTAGCCAGTTTCACTCTTTCTTCTGTGCTTTTGTAGTTTCCAAACTATTCACTCTGTCTAAAACTACTATAGTTTTTCCACTAATGAGTAGAAAAATATTTTGATAATTAGCAGTAACTGTGTATTACAGCACTTACTCATCTTAATAGATTTTTTTTTCCCTAGCGGTAGGTGAAAGACATTCACAAAGAGGTTTTTATTCCTGTTGCAGTCATGGCAGAAATACTGTTTATCCCATGCATTTGTATACAGCAGCACATGAAACATGGGCCTACTAAATATCAGCAGACTTCAGTTACTTTTACCTACTAGAGGAGGATGGGTAACACACCACTTTTAGAAATACACTGGTCCTCCACTTCTTTACGAAACTCTTTTTGCTTCAGAAGTGAAGGATATGAACCTATTCATTTTTGACCTTCCACAAGGAAATCAAGTCTTTAGCCACTTGTAACAGGATATTACAAAAGCTAATTAAGTTTTACTAGATTTTATTTTTCAACAATATCCTTCAGTCATAGGGAAATGGCATTTTGCGGGCTATGTGTTTGGAGGGTTTTTTTTTATGTTTTCAGTGCCATTTTCAATTGTTAAGGGTTTTTTTTTATTACCTTTAGTTGATTTAGTTAATCATCTGTAATGCAAATGCAGAGAGTAAATACTCTTTTGTAGTACCAGGTCTTATTATATACATCCATATGTTTTGTTCTTATTAATAATGTGCATCATCACTTTGAGGACTGACTGAAAAAAAGTAATATAGGTAGTATATTAGATACAAATTTACATAATATATGTAACAATGTAAATATTTTTTATACTATATATAGTATACTCCCTCTATATAGATGAAGACTGTATTATAGATAGCATTTGGACATAGGCAGATGTAATTCTATTAGTTCTAGGTTTTTCATACTTGAGTTGAAAAACTTAAATTACTGCATTTTAAATGTATGCATTTTTTATGTATTTGTGAAGAGAAAATAAATGGTCAAATTCAAAGTCTTCAGTTCCATTACAGGCACTGGAGAGGATGTGCTTTTTGATTGATACAGGTTTTTCTGCAGGTTTGTCTCTGTACCTTTTTGCCTTCGGGTTGTTCTAATGCAGTCACCTCGCTTTTCTCTCTGGAAATTTCTTTTACCTTCCTTCCCCTAAACTAGCTGTTCTAGTTTGGTTATACTCTAACTATCCTCCATAGTTTTCTTTCTCACATAGGTTCCAGTCTTTTTCCTGTTCCATTTCCACTTTTCTCCCTTTATTCCCTAGTCTTTTTTTTCCTGCCATCTTTCCTGTAAATAACTTGCTGTGTGCCATCTATGTACATTGGATTTTGCCTCAATGAGGTAGTTTGTTTTTCGTGTTATCTGAGGAAGAGGATGAGACATTATGAATATAAGTGAAAGAGCTTTTCATTTAGTGTGTGTAGAGATAGGAGGTAGCTGTAGCCTCTGGTTATACTCAATGCATAGATTTTCAGTGATTTTATTCTTTAGTAATTGTAATTGTAATCTTTTACGCTCCTCCCACTACACTCTTATCCTTCCTGCTTGTACTGTGGCCAAATGCCTTACATTTTCACAGGAATACTGAAAGGATATCAAAGGTCTTGGTTTGCCAAGTTTTAAGTCTCATCTCCAAAAAGCAGTATTTTCCAGGAGTGTGCAGCTTAGGCAGACACCGAGTAAAGAGAATTTCAGCCTACATGATTGAAGTGTGATAGGATTAAAGATGAGTGGATGGTTTTGTCAGTAGTAAGATGAGGTAATCTTAGAGCAGACAACGCTTTTAGGCTCTTCTGTTATGAAGGTAGCCCCATGTGTTCCTTGGAGCTACAACTGAGGAAGTTAAGAACAAATAGCCTGTTAACCCTGGATTCACCGTCATTGTGATCACAGTTGGACTTTGACCACATCCCTGAATATGGGGGTTTCTTTGATCTCATGAGCAATATTTGCACCCAGCTACAAACCAGGTTAAGTGGGCTAAGCAGCTCTGCTTCATGGTGCTTCTGCCCTCCTTGTTTCTCTCCTGGCTTTCATGTTAAATTCCCTCTTCGTGTTTCCATCCTGCTGTAACCTTTTTCTCTACATGTTGAGGACTGCTCTCATCCCATCCAAGACTTAGGAAAGTGTATATAAGCAGTAAGGGTGAACTACTGTTTCACTTTGTTAATGAAATGTTTGTTAAATGGAATGTCATCTCCTTGACAAGTGAGCAGTCTGACTTACGTAATAATTTATAGATGTTTGGTGAGTGTCTTAAGTTTGTTCATCAAGGAACATGCATCTGCATAGGGCAATATTTACTCCTCTTTTACTCCTTATACATGTGTCTGTAAAGCTTCTGAGGTGTTCTGCAGAAGAAAAATAGTATCAATAGACATACCCACTTCCACTCTTCTTGGCTGTTTCAAATAAAAAAATTGCAGTGGATGATAGTTGAGGTTTCAGGATCCTGAATTTGTGAAAAAAAAATTATGTCAAGCCAAAATAATTTATTTCTGTGAAGGAAAAGCATGCCTTGTGAAGTGGTACATGTCATGTGACTTGTAAAGTATTGACATTAACTGTAATAAATAAAATGTAATTCACCAAGAATAAGTGCAAGGTTTTATGCTATAGAATAGTCAGCTAAAAGATGTGGGTCAACAGGTAGGTGGTAGCTATATCAAAAGAAAGTTAAGCAGATTGTAAGTGAACATATAATTATTGATTGATTTGTGAACCAGATGAATCATTTTAGATCAAATGTTTGATCTGGATCAGGTTTGAACGAGTGATAGCATTCCAGAAGATGAGATGTGATGTTTGTGTCTATTTGTGGTAGCTACAGGAAAACAAGTTACGCTTTTGATAGAGTAACCTTAACTCCAGAAAAGTGTTTAAATATTTTTACATGAATAAGAAGTTCTAGTTGGTCAGTGTTTTGCAGTGGTCATGTTTAATGCAGTATGCTGCATCGTAAAACTAATACATAGTGTCGTTGAACCATTGCCTGAATTGCCAGTGTTGGGGTCCTGCAACCAAAGAGTAATAGGTGGTTTATGGTATGTCTAGAACTGTGGGACAAGGAAGATCTTGGATCTGAAAGCATAACCTGTGAGGACAGATTGGTTTAACTGACTTAGGCCGGAGAAGACTGAAGAGAAATAAAACAGTGTTCAAATGTCTAAAAGGGATAGCTGCTGAAAAGGTAAAGTATTAGTCAATAGGACAAAACCAGATATGCTGAATTTATAGGAACAGTTGCATTAAATCTGACGAAAAATCTTCCAGCTATAAAAATAATTTCTTTATACTTGGATGGAGTAGTTTGCTTACAGGGGTTTTGAAATTACTACTTTTTGTAGATTTTAGAGTGTAGAGAAATAGTTATGAGAAATAGTGTAGGTAGACCTGATTCTCCTCTGGGGTATAAAGAGAACTAGATGATTTCCCAGGGCAGCCTCACTGTGTGTGTATGTGTGGTTGTTCTACATTTAATAATCAGACTAATTTCAACGTCTGAATTTTCTTAGATAGGGTATTTTGCAATAAATCCAATCCTGAAGTGACAGTACTATCAGTAACTGTGACATGGTTACCATTGAAGGGAAAATGTCATATTCCTCCTGCCAGGTGCAGATGGAAAAATATGCCTGTGGCTACTGCTGTTTCCTTGGCACACTATAGCAATCTGGGATCTAATACTCTTCTTACCCTCATAACACAGACTGAGTTCACAAATGGAGATGGCACTCTTTAAATGGACAAGAATACAAGTTTCATCAGTTCCTCTGACTGCTTTCTTCACCTTATGATTATTACTTGCTACCTTTTGTTCAAGCCTGTGGTTATATTGCTGTTCTATATTTCCTTGTATGTGCTGGATACATCCCAAATGGGTACACATAAGCTACATGTATTTCATTTAAGTAATTTTATTTGCTCTTCACCCGTTAACTGACAATGTATAAAAAAGGCAATGTCATGTATTTCTCTAGAATGTCAGCTAATGAAAACAGAGCGACCAAAGCCAAACACATTTATTATCAGATGTCTTCAGTGGACCACTGTTATAGAGAGGACGTTCCACGTAGACACTCCGGAGGAACGGTGAGGGTTTTATTCTGTTTTTGCTTTTCATGTTCCTTACGCCAAAGCCTCATCAGAGTCTCTGCTGGGCCTGCACAGCAATCAGCACTTGGAACTGTGACATTCTGAGCACATCTGAGCAGTTAGTTAAAGATTTTTAAGTCAGCTTCTGTAAAATATTATCTGAGCTCATAGCTAGCATAAGAGTTGCCTGCAAGTAGGTGGAATGAGAGTGTTCAAATAAGCCAAGACTATGTCATGATACGTCTCTGAAGTGTTGAATTTTGAACAACCAAAGCCTGGATTGAAGTATTTCCAGCCTCGCTGTCTTACTCTTCCTAGTGTGCTCCTTTCTGGCACAGAAAGCAGTATACTTATTATAATTTATTTTGTGTTTGCTTATTAGTTTTTCTTGTTTCAAGTAAACATTCACAAACTCTTAAGAATTAACTTTTTTAATGCACAAAAAGCATGTAGAAGATATGGGATGATGTACCTTGCTAAATGTTCTATATTCTATCTAATTAGATGATGGTACTGCATCTTCCCTCTGTGGACATCTGTCCTGTTGAAACTAGTACTATGATTTGGCTGTTATTGTTTTTATCAATAAATAACCAACAACTTTGCTTTTTCTGTTGTTTCTCCTTCATAAGTATATTCACTTAGAATTTTTTTTGTTCTACCTTGGTACTGTTTCTCCACCCTATCTTTCTTCTGTACCTCCCACTGCATTATTATTCAGTAATAAATATCACCAGACTCCTCCCATCTCCCTTGCTGGATGAGTAAAAATCAACAGGTACTGCACTTGTGTGGGGCTATAGTGTGCTCATGGGCCGGCTGGTGTGTCTGTGCTGGTCAGCCAGCACACAGAATAGCCATGGGCTCAGCTGGCCCTGCTTGTCCTTCCACAGGAACCCTCATCTGGGCCTGCCCCTCAGTGCAGCCACTGGTTTTTAGGATGCTTGCAGGAATTTAGTTGTCTTTGAGGGCCTTTTTTGAGGGGAATTTGGAAAAAAGTCTTTAAGTTGAGTTTTAAGAGGAGAAAAACAAAGAGTTGAATACATGATATGGTTTAATAGATCTTATTTATTTGCTGTGAAAATGTCTTGCAGGGAGCGGGAATACCAAACAGTCTCTTAAAATAGCAAGTTATTATCAGATAATATTGCATAAGAGATGCCATCCTATGCTCTGAACAAGCATGCCATCCTATGCTCTGCTCCTATACCTGGAACAAGTGTTTTCAAGTTTCCACTAGTAAAATACTTAACAAATTAGAGACTGCTAATTCTTTAAATTAACCATACAGTGATCCTTTCTGGTCAGCTTCACCACCTTTAACAAAATGCAGAATTTGGAAGGAAATTGAAGTGATTAATTTATAAAAGTCTTCTGCTGCGTAACATGAAAATTGAAAATAGAAGCAATGTAGCAGGTGAAAAACATTATAAACCATGTAACATATTTTTTGAGTTTCTAATAGAGATGTTGGCTTGTTCATGATAGGGAAGAATGGACAGAAGCAATCCAGGCTGTAGCAGACAGACTTCAGAGACAAGAAGAGGAGCGAATGAACTGTAGTCCAACTTCACAGATAGACAATATAGGAGAAGAAGAGATGGATGCTTCAACAACTCATCATAAAAGAAAGGTAATGACATTAAAAAATAGCTGACAGGGCTCATATGTAACTAACTTTTGTAGAATGGTCTAGTTGGGTAAAACAATATATAGGGAATAGTATTTCTACATAAATTTCAGTGTATTACAAGCATAAGGTACTTACTTGTTTTATTTCAATAAAGCTGAACTGCTCTAGTTTTATTTACTTGTTATGCTATCTGATACAGCACTTCTGAAAAACAAAGTTCAGCCATTCAGGCACATGTTAACATTCTGCTTATTGTTTGACCATTATTTCATCCTTTTGTTTGTTTGCTCTTTTAGAAGTATGGTAATAAAATATCTTCTTTAGACAAGTACATTTTCCCCCTTTCTCATGCAAATAATATCCAGTACAAATTAGGTAATTTGCATGAGAAAGGTTAGCAGAATTTCACTTTTAATGACCTTGTTTTTTGCTAACTGGGAAAATAACTCTACTTTACTTTTCAATCAAGTAGAAGAAAACAGCATTTTATTTTTTCTGCTGTCTTTCACAGGTTTTGGTTTAAATAGGAACATGAACTTAGCTGGTCATAACATACCTGTGGTTGTATCTCCTGAGTCAACAGGTTAAACACACGACTTGAGGGCGTGTTTTAAAGATCTGATGCCACTCAAAAATTTGCTTATGTATTTCCATTTTGTCCTGTGTTTCTGTATGGACTACTCTTGAAGAATGGATCATTCAAATGGATGTCTCTCATTTACTATGCAGAGTTGACATGACTCAAGAAACGCATTGCAATTGCATGAAAAATAATAACCAGTTTCTATAGGACTGACTTAAGTCTTTCTAGCTAAAGTGAAACCTGGAGAAAACTAAGTGGAAGTCTGCTGACAGAGCAAAATAGTCTTATAACTCACATAATTGAATACCTTTGAATAATGAACAGTTAAAAGAAATCATGAATGTATCTTTACTCTTGGAACATATTTTTTTGGTTGCACTATATGAAGCAAGAATCATAGAAAAATCAGGAGCTGCAAACTATACCCTTTATGAATACAGCAAAGGTGTCAAAGGTAATTTTAGTTCTATCATGTCCTGACTTCTGAGAACTTGAGTTTGCAGTGAAAACAGAGTTCTTTCATGTGGTTTCATTGTATGCAGTTTTCTAACCTTTATCTGCTATAGAAAAAGGTAAAAACCAATTATGTACAGCTGTAACAATACTCTGATCATATATTGTCAGGCCGACACCGAACTCTTAGCCTTGTGGCATGGATATTTAATGACTGTGCTTCAGGGTAAAAGTTGATAAGTTGACAGCAAGACAGAGGCAGCATTTAAGACGTGTCAGCCTTGTGAGAGGCAGTGCGATTATGTGGAAAGGATTTGGATTTGCTCTCGTAAAGATCTAAGCACTGTTCCAAGCCTGTATATTCTTTTAGTGGAATACAAAACTACTGTATAACAAGAAGCACTTTCAAGGTATCAAAATTAATGCTGTCTGATACAAATAGTTTATCTGGAATGTGCTTTCCTTGTACACAGTGCAGTGCTTTTTCCCATATGACAAAACGGGCTGTGGGAACAGAAGGAGGAGGAGGATCGATTTTGTTTCTGTCTTGCTGCTTGTGCTTTAAGAAATGCTGAAATAATATGCTGGGACAGTGCATGTACAGTGCTACAGTATATTTAATGGCTTTGGCAATAAGCCAAAAGCAAACTCAACAATACAAAGGTGAAATGAAAAACGATGATATTCAACATCTTATAATAGAGCAATATAATAATAATAATGATAAAAAGAAATACAATAAAAGACTTTAAAAAAATAAAAGTAAAAAAACTAGAGCCAAAACTCTGAATCTCACTGCAGATCCCACTGTCAGAAGACTTTAGTGAAAGGTGCTCAGAAGTTTTTGGAATAAAAAATAATAGGTGACCATTATGATGTGGAGTTGTCACTGCCTCTGTTGATTGAAATTCTGAAAAATATCTTTTTAGAACTGTTTCTGTTTTGTAGAAATGTTTCTGAAAGCTGTTATTTAAGCTTTTATAGGCATTAATATAATCAGAACCATTTCAGTTATAATGACTTAGTGCATTTTTATTGCTTTTTTTTGGTATTGAATTTCTTTCCTTTCAGGGATTTTTGCACGATGTGTCCTTTCTTGACAAAAGCTTATTTTGTCACCTGATTTTACATCTAAGCCCAGTGAATTTTGCTTGTGCATGCACCAGATGGTATACATATGAGTAGAAGAGCATAATCAGATTAAGAAACAAGACAGAGAGGAGTTGGGCCTGTTCTTCTCTAAAAAGGTAGCGAAAAGAAAACAGTGTTTAGGACAGGGAACTTGATTTGAACAGACATGACAGCTATGTCCCTGGTTAGATTAGCTGGAAGAACCAAAAGCACCTTTTTTTTTTCAATTTTCTTTTTTAAATGGTGTCAATGTGCCATTTAAGTTTTACAGTAATAATGTCACTAAAATTGCACTGGAATATAGCACTGGAAATTCTTGGCAAACTGCTAACTCTGAGTGGTATAATCATGGTGCACATCAGGAATTTAAAAAAAAAAAATTAGTTCCTTGGTAGGAATTTTCAACACCTGTATTAGGGTGTATTCTTTTGAACAAATCACCCACAGGAGATGGTCTGTTCAGATGGTGACCAGATACTCCTGTAGGGGAGTAAATAGCCTTTACAGAAGGCTGAACATCACACATTTCTTTGGATAGCGTAGTCTCTTGTTAACTTCATTGCTTTTTTTTTGTTGTCGTTTACAAATTTGATTTGCGGGATGAGATTTTTCAGAGAAAACTTAAAGGTTATATAATGAGGAAAAAGATTTAGAACTTGGAGTAGGGGGGGAATGAAAAACTAGGGAAAACATGAAGGAGAAAGAGTCCAATTTTATGAGAGTCTCCAAAGTTGCTTACCAGCATCCCTCAGGTTTAGGAAGTATTTACATTTTTCCACCAGTTTTCAGTACACCCTTAGCTTTGGCATCTGTGTTTTTATCTCCCAAGGTCTTCTATTCTTTGATAGGCTTCTTGAGTTACCCTGCACTGCATATCATCTCTAAGCCTTCTGCTAAGCTGCTAAAGAACGAGAGCATCAGAAGACTTTATTCTTAGAACTAACACTATCGCCATAACATGCTGTTAAGCCATGGCTCAAAATCTTGCAAACCTATTACCTTTCTCTTATAAATATACATATATTTTAAACTTATTTTCACTGAGCTTGCATCTAGATTCCTGACTGCTTTGCTGAATGTTATGTAAGCAAATTTTGGATGAATGAGTCTTTGACTGATAGGTGCCCCTAGCATCAAATCCATGTGAGTGATCAGTTGAGCCAAGATCCTCCTCCTTTGTATGGGCAAAGGGCAGCTTTTCTGAGCTGGTTTTATTCAGACTCTGATGGTCCCTCTCCTAAGTCTAGCCTCTTGGAGAAGATCAGAAGTGTGGGAAAAAGTTACTCCTCTGAAGGTGCTTGTGATCCCATAAATTTGTGACTATTAGAAGTGATAAGTTGTTACAGTCACTACCTCAGTATTCTTTATCAATAAAGCTGTCAGCCATTCTTTGTCAGGGAACACAGTCGCTTGTGAGTGAAGATATGGAGGATTCTGCCCTGAATTACTCATCTTCTGCCTGAATTGTGTTTTGAAAGTGTTTTGGATTTTTTGTGGATTTTTGTCAATGTTCACTGCTTTTGCTCAAAGGCAGTTGTTTTCTGCTTGATGGTTGTCATAGAACCATCGAATAGATAACCTGACTTTCCAAAGTACTGAAAGTGATACTTGAGAAGTCTTACCTTTAGTTGATTAAGTACAAGTGGGTCACAGATTCACATACTACGCCATGAGTCAGGAGTTATCACACATTTTACTAGTTTTTGGAAAAGTTGACCATTTAAGGATTTGTCTATGATAATAACGTTTAACTTTAACTTGTGTAAAGTGAGTTTGCTTTAGGTAAGAATGATACTGAGTCTTTGAAATCTCTGTTACCCATATTTCTTGCAGAGATAAATGCAATTTTGTTCTTCCTGATGTGAGGTAGTTTTGGCAGCAAAATAAGATCTGTCACTGCAAAATTTCTAAGTATGTTTATGTGTGAGCATCAAGGTTACTTTGCTTAGAAGCTACCAATCAACCATTACACAGGAAAAAGATTGAATTCCTGTTGATATAGCCAGGAACTTCATATATGGAAAGCATCTTCTCCTTAATAAACCTTTGAAATACCCGGCTATCCAGGTGTTAAATAGTATGTTGAAGACCTTTTGCAGCTTTGAATTTGCAGGTGGAACACTTAAAAGCTAAGGAATTACAGCATTAATGTGGTTCATGGAACTTCAGTTTTACCTCTTATGGGAGCAGATTGCAAACTGACTCTGAGTGAAAACCTGCATAAATCATTTTCACAGTTTGTCTACAGCAAATTCAGATCCACAGTAATAGCATCATACACTTGAGCTTAAAGGAATAAATAATTTTAGAAGGAAATTTTGCCCTTTATTCTTTCTCACGAGCAACGATATTTTGCTGCCACTATTTGTGATTGCACTCTAGGGATCTGCCCAATACCTCTACACTTGGAATTTGTATGAGCTTTGTAGGCACTGGTAGAAGTATTTCTGGTAGAGATGAGAAAACTACTATTTTCCATTGTGGAAAATACAAGTAGGAGTTTACCTGAAACAACAGTATTCAACAAAGCAGCCTGAGGCCACAACTACTGATAGAATGAGACACTAAGAAGGTGAAAGATAAGGCATGATCTTTTTCTCATATATAACAGGATTAAGTATATTTAACTTAGCAAAACTGGGACTTGGAGTATAATTACTCTTTACAAATGTTTTGAGATATATTATTCACAAAGGAAGGAAGGTTCTTGATACGGCAAGGCAGTACTTTAAAAAGAATAAGTGAGTATTGTTTTTCAGAATTTTTAACTGCTTTTCTCAACGTTCCTGGGTTGCAGCACCACAAAACTCGATGGTTTTGTGGTGCTGCAACCAAGCCAGTAACACAGCACACTGAAAGATGTGCTGTAGAAACACACAGTGGAACCCAGTGATTGGCCAAAGAAATCCCGCTGGTACAAGGCAACCTTGTGCAGTCACTGCATTCTCAGTATTGTGCTGGTTTTTCTCTATTTCCTCATCTTTACGTCTAAGGCATGCACCAAAGAGTTGATGCTTCTGAACTGGCTGTGAAACGAACTTGTACAACTAAGATGATTATTGACTCAAACTTTGGGCTTGTGAAAGTGACTAAACTGCTTTGGGATCTGAGATCATCTGGTCATATTCTTACTATGTGTGACACTCTGTTGAGTCAGTTAACCTACTAGACTCAAATTGTCTGTTGGTAGAACCAGCTCTTGAATGTACTATGTTTAGCCTGGAAAACTAGTGCAATAATAGAGTCACATGAAAAATGAAAATTTGCCATCTCTTCCTTTTCAGAGCCAGATTGATTAATGTAAATACCATTTACATTACAATGTAAATACCATTTACATTATTTGCATTATTATATAATGTAAATAATGTAACCTGTACAAAAATTTTAAAAAGTCTACCTCTAGTGGCTATTGTTGAATCTTACGGGTATAATATTTCAGTGAGGATTGTGTATGCTTCAAAAAAGCCATTAGTGCAATGTTTGGTGTTATGCAAAACCTACTGATTTGTTTGTGTGTCCCTGATAATACAGGAGCTGATGAACCTTCTTAGATGTGGAACATTCACGAAATGCTGGGATAGGCTGAGACTTCGTTTTGTGTGCGCTTTGTAAAAATAAGTGTGTGTAGTATACTGTGCAGTACTTGACTTTAGAGAACTGTAATAATACTATTGAACAATTTATCCTGATGGTTTAATGACAACATTTAGTTGCCTTCTTTGCCTCAGTCTTCAATATCAAGACCAATGTTCTCTGGGTACCCAACCTCCTGAGCTGGAAGAATGAATCCCTCATAATCTAAGGGGAGATGTTCAGTGGTCTGATACATGCAGTAGTGTGTCCAGAGAGGGGCAATGTAGCTGGTGAAGTGTCTAGAGCAAAGTCATATGAGAGGCGGCTGAGGGAACTGGGATTGTTTAGCCTGGAGAAAAAGAGTCTCAAAGAGGACCTTATTGCTCTCTACAACTACCTAAAAGGAGGTCGTAGCCAGGAGGGGTCGATCTCTTCTCCCAAGTAAGAAGTGATAGGATGAGATAAAACGGCCTCAAGTTGCTCCAGGGGAGGTTTAGATTGGATATTAGGAAAAATTTCTTCACTGAAAGAGTTGTCAAGCATTGAAACAGGCTGCCCTGGAAAGTGGTGGAGTCACCTTCTCTGGAGGTATTTAGAAGACACGGCAAGGTATGGCACTTAAGTACATGGTTTAGTGGTAGTGCTGGGTTAACAGTAGGATTTGATGATCTTAAAGGTCTTTTTCAACCCAAACAAATCTGTGATTATGAACTTAATAGAAGTGGACCTATTTTTGTAAACTGTTCTTATTGTATTGAGAACAACATTTGATTATATGTTGGAACTGGATAGCATAAGTCTTGCTAATCCTTGTTCTTTGCTCCTTACAGACAATGAATGATTTTGACTATTTAAAACTACTGGGCAAAGGCACGTTTGGCAAAGTTATCCTGGTCCGAGAGAAGGCTAGTGGCAAATACTATGCTATGAAGATTTTGAAAAAAGAAGTCATTATTGCAAAGGTAAGGAAGGTTATAGTTTTAATATTGGGTCATTTTAAAGAGTGGAATAATCAATATTTAATACATAAGGTGTATTTGATTTTTGATGGTAACTTAGTTTGATAGAAGTATGCTTGTATTTTCAGAAAACAAGAATACAAAAAAAAATATGTGTACCCATTTTGCATGCCTTTTTCCAGTATTTTATAATCAGTGTGCTAAAACACTGAGGGAGTTCACTGGGCAAGAAGATAGTGCAGTCCAAGTTTAAACAAGAAGAAGTGAATTGTAGGGTACGTTAGATACTTTTTTTCTAAGTTAATTCAGATAAAATCGTTTAATTTAATGGGCCTGTACTTTGTGCCTACCATGTTATATAAGATTGCTATGTATGGGGCTAATGATTCCATTTTTTCAATTTTTGAAATGTAAGGAAAGTCTGAAGTTGATGTCTGAAGAAGTAGTTTAAACTGGCATTGTCGAGTCACTTAAACTTGTTAAGTGTTACTAGCCCTTGTGCTTGCTCATAATATCACTTAAGTTTAAACTTAGATCATCTACTCTGACCTTTGTTTCTAGCAATTCTGAAGTTTTGAATCCCACTTGTGCAGAACAAACTGAAAGCAAGAAACCTACATGCATTTATCAACATGAGACACAATTAAAAATAATCCCATTTGTTAAGTGAGGAGGTTTTGAGGGATGCGGATCTGACTGGGATTTTTGAATGCTTGAGGCTAACAATATCAGTATCCATAAAAACTGGATGTGAATGGGAACTACTGTGTTTTACATACATTATATTTTAAAATATCCTTCATATTTTTCTAGTTTTCCCATTGACCTATGAAAACAGAGCTTACAAGAGTTTTGCAGTCTATCTCTATGTTCATTTGTCTGTCACTCACTTTCTAGTAACTTTTGGATGTGTTGATCAGTTTTGATTAAATTTGATAGAGGAATAGAAGCCTCAGACAGTTATATTTCCTTGAGTTTGATTAAAACCAGCCCTGTTTTAGGCAGAGGGACTTAAACTTAAGTCTTCAGCAGTGAAGAGACTGACCTGTGAGTTCTGTGTGCCCTTAGCAGCTGTGTTGTGTGCGCTGGCAGGCTAGTCAGCATGTATATGGCTTGGACTAACAGGAACAGAGTGTGTCCTTTTTCATAATCAGGGCATACAGGAAGAAAAGAGGGTATTGCTTCTGCATTCTCTGGATTCTGCGTGGGAAGGAGCATCTCAGTGGTCCTCCTTTTAAGACATGGCAACAATCTCTGTGGGCTGCCCTGTGGGTCTGAGAGTCTCCTTGGCTGCTGTGTGCTGTGGCCCAGTCTCCATCCTGACGTCCTTATCCAGTGTTCTGCTCACCCCTGGCACCTGAGGGGTCCTCAGGGGAGTCTTAGATCAGACTCCTGTGACATCCTTTTCTGCTACTTGTTTATGTCCTTCCAGCCTTCAGAACATTTCAGCTTATTGCTTTGTATCAATAACATACAAAACAGATGTTTGAATTTTAGGGTTTTTCCATTTACTTTTCTGGCTGCTGCAATATCAGGGACTTTTTGGAAGGGTTAAAACTGGTTATTGGATAACTTCGTCTCTGATGAGCAAAAATTCTTGTTCATAGAAGTATGTATAAAGCAAGAGTGATTTTGAAGAAATCAGAGATACAACTGTTTGTTGATCTGTTTACTTGAAAACAGTAAGGTAGACTAGATTGAGCAGAACCTGGCGCTCCCTAAAGCAGACCAGGTTTTTCTGCCTATTTATAGACTAGCAAGAAGATTGTGTGAGGAAAGATGCCTTTCATCCTGTGAAGAAAATGGAAGCACCACAGTCTTTGAAATTTTACTTCCTCAGAACTGGAATTTTGTTTTGAAGGGAGTCCCCCAAGTTTTCCATAGTACGGTTCTATATTGATAAGAAAGTGATGAAAGAATAAAAAATGGGCTTTTTTAGGCTTTTTTTTTTAAACCATACTTAGATCTTCAGAAGTGAAGTGCTCATGTTTTTTTCCGTATTGTCACTAAAATACCAGTTTTTCTACTCCTTCCTAAACTAAAAACAAAGCAGACTTGAGTTTGAATTTAGCTATCTCGTGCAGTCAGCGTGTGATCATGCCATGGGGATTTATCAACTTATCAGTTTAATTCTGGAGATCAGTGCGAATAGATCTGCAGTCCCAACTCAGCCTGTAATGTGATGTAATATACATTCTAGAATTATAGAATGGCTTGCATTGGAAGGGACCTAAAAGATCATCTAGTTCCAAAACCCCTCCTATGAACAGGGACACCTTCCTCTAGACCAGGTTGCTCAAAGCCCATCCAACCTGTCCTTGAATACTTGCAGGGATGGGGCACCCACAGCTTCTCTAGGCAACCTGTTCCAGTGCCTCACCGCTCCCACAGTAAAGAATTTCTTCCTAAGGTTTAATCTAAATCTCTCCTCTTTTAGTTTAAAACTGTCCCCCCTTGTCCTATTGCTACTTGCCTATGCAAAAAGTAGCTCTACAGAAGGTCTAACAGCATACTGAGGCAGAAAAGTGGTGCACTGACAGCTGTATAGCATCTGCCCAGTTCAGACTAAATCTGTTGATCCTAAATTTTCATGACAGATTAATATTACACTTACCAGGAAATTGCTACCGGTATTACAGACTCCTGAGGCAATGCCAGAAAAACTGCCCATTGCCAGCTTTTTATGCTGCATATCTGGTGAACTACAGAGGTTTAAAAATAAAAAAATAAACAAACTTTTAAACTTGCTTTTTTCCTTAAAGTTTTTTTTGTTTGTTTGTTTTCCCCCTAGTATGTGGTTGTAGTGTATATACTCAGTGTTGCACTGCTATTCAGCTAAATGGCATCATAATTGATTACCACTAACTCTGTTGTTGTTTAACTTCCTATTTTGACAATTTTTAAAGTCTATTTTAAAACTCCTGACATCTGTGTTTACTTTCCAGTTTAATAATACCTTATCTTCAGAGCATCGTCTCATAATTATGTGTAGTACAATAATGTTATATTGGTATTATTTGTGGCAATAATAAAGTGTAGTCTGATTAAATATATTTACTTTTGCAGGATTACAGTTGAAGTTTGAGTCACACTAGGCTAGTCTTTACTTCTGTGTAATATAAAGCTCAGTGGTAGCTTAGCACTACAGGAAATGGCTAAACCAGCCAAGTGACTCTCAGGCTTTTCAGGCCTGACCCCTGGCAGCCTGGGGAGGGGGATTCACAGTAGGTATTACATGCAGAATTGCATAAAATGGCTGTGTATTCATAATGTGAACTCCCTAAGAGCTATGTTTTCTCCCTAGTCTTAGGCAGCTGTTCATGTTGTAGGGCAGGGTAAGCCCTCTGCCCATCATCCTCATCCCCTCACCCCTGTACAGCTCTGCTCTCTGCAGACCTGGTGGTGTGAGTGGCCACAGCCGTGCCCCCTGTGTGGTGCCCACCCAAGGGGATGGTGAGAGGGGAGAGTCTGTGGAAGGCGTAGGGGATAAGAGCGGGTGAGCTTCCCAGGTTAGTTTCCTTCTCTCACTTTGGTATAGGGCTTGTTTTAATCTTCTCTCTTCAGGCTCACAGACAGGCAAGTGTCACTCTCTCTCCAAATTGCCTCTTTCCCCAAGTGTGGCTGAAAATGAGTTGGGGATTGTGTGGACATCTCCCACCTCCTGAGAATGAGGAGAATGTCCTCAGGAAAGGAGGTCATCCTGGTCAGAGGAGCACTGCTCACCGCCAGGCTCCTAAGGACAACCTGGGTGGATAAAAACAAAACCAACACCAAACCAAGTGAAAGTTTAAAACCAGAAAAACTGACTCTGGGTGACACTGGGCTAAATGAGGACTGGTTTTTATATTTGCCTGTCAGGTACTCCATGTGTATGCATCTTGCAAATTGGTTCAGTCTCTTTATAGATTCATTGTTCAGGTGATTCGTACCAGAACTGTGAAGTTGTGATGACTATATTTTTAAGATGTCAAATACAATATTATAATTTCTTCCTTCCCTGAATCAAGACTTCACTTTAAAACAAGAAAATAAGAAAACCAAATAAAAAAAATGTTAAATTTTTTTTTGTCAAACTTAAGTATTTTCTCAAAAAATGTGAAGGTTCATTTGTTTTTCAAAACTGTATTGTAACTTTCTCTTTTTGAAGTGTTGACCTTTTTCTTGTAATTAATTAAATAACAGTTTTGTATCTTAACTCAGACCTACTTCTTCTTCTCTCTATTTCTCAGGATGAAGTGGCTCATACACTTACAGAAAGCAGAGTATTGAAAAACACCAGACACCCTTTTTTAACAGTAGGTATTGGAGACTAGTTTTAAGTACATTAGCAGGTCATTTTCAACATCCATTATGAATGTATTTTACAAACAAATTTTGAAGTCTTTCGCAGGATGATTTGTAAACAAGCAGTAGCTATCTGGTGCCTATGATATCCTTTATCAGGATATGTAATTAAAAGTTCAGAAATAATGTTTCTAATAACTTTATAAAGCTTAATTGCACTGAAAACAAATTTAATTGTAGAATGTAACTTGTGCAATTTTTATATATGAACACTTTTAAAATAAAAGCTATTGATGTCACAGAGTGTAATTTATTTTTACCAAGAAAACTTAATTAAGAATTCAGCAAAACAATAAAAATAACTATTTGTTCAACATAAGTAGCCCACAGAGCCACAAAGCTCAAGTTCTAGCCCCACTGTCTTTGTCTTCACATGGTTAATAATTAATAGAGGGAAAATACAGAAAAGAAGATGAAAATTTTGAGACTTATGAGAAATTATGATTAAGTTTACAACTGGCTTTCTTCTGTAGAATTAATTCTCATTCCACTTCTATGAGAATATATTAGAAAATATTTTCATTTATTTCAAAATATGATTAGCACATTGTTAAGACAGGGAAATATCTTTTTTCTTTTGGTATTAAAATGTCAAAGTATAGCATGGAAGCTTTCCTTTTTAGAAACACAAACCTTTTAGAAAGCAGAGGATTACATTTACATTACTTGGCCAAAATATTCTGGGAAATTCGGTCCAGGGAAAAGAGATTCTGTAATGTTTCTTAAATTACAGTGTAAAGGTAAGCAGGAGTAGCCCTACCTCCAGTCAAATAATGCAACAATGTTAACTGCAGTTGTATCTTTTTATCTTTCTGTTATTCTAAAACAAGTATTTTAATGAGAAATGCAGCATTTAAGTCACACGAGTCTCCTTATGCTTCTTACATGTAGTTCTACTGAATTTCCTTTCTCTTAGGCTGTCTTCACCGGTAGATTTTATATGATATTTTTTTCCAATCAAAATGAAATCAACATTGATAAGTCAAAAATTTTAATTAACATCTGTTACAACTTTAAAATGATATGTAAATAAATATATTAATTTACCACTCAGTGTTTTTAATATTCCATAGTATGTGAGACTGGAGAGTCCTTGCTTTGGAAATAAAAGCAGACTGGAGGTTAAGATCACTTTTAAGATTTCATTTAGGAGAAATTAAAAAGAATGTTATAATTTCTCTCTTCATGGGCATTGTGGAAGTGGGCATCATGAAATAAGATGAGTGGGAATAGCCATGTATGGCAGTAAGAAATGTATAAAACTGTCTGTTTTAGTAACCATTTATTATTTTATTGTGACAAGCATGATGTTTTCATGTCAGTGGCCATGTGGCAGACGTGAAGAAAGACTTGAAAGTTTTTGTGTTAATTCATCTCAAATTCCGGATAGGAGATTACACTTAATTACTCTGAAAGTTCTCACTAAAGTCAGAATTTTCTACTTAAAAAGTTAAAATTAAATTTTGTTACAGTTTTAAGTACAAGAAATTGGGTTAATATAAGATGATAATTGGTTTGATTTTGCTATTTTCTTTGCAAGTCCTTGAAATATTCCTTCCAGACAAAGGATCGTTTGTGTTTTGTGATGGAGTATGTCAATGGAGGAGAGGTAAGTTTAAGAAAGATGTTGTGCTTGTAATGGTAATACTGTCACTGGCTTACACTTTAAAGGTTATAATTTTTCTTGCCTTTTTTGCTTTTTGGTAAATTTGAAGGGATTTTAAAAAAATTTTGGAACTGTTTTATGTAAAAAACAACAGTTGACATGTTTTATGTCTTTGCTGTCAAAACTACTTCCTATTTTGGAAAAATTAGACTCCTGTATAGTGAAAGATAACTTCATGGTAGTGAAATAATTGCAAATAGCTTGCTTATTGGTTTTTTTCATTAAGCATGTTATAACACGTTCTGGCATGAAACAATCATAATCTAGTGTAAACAAGCAAAACCAGCGTTGACTAGTCTTACTTTTGTCCTAATATGAAATATGTGCTTTCTTTGCTGTAGCTATTGCAAAAATCTATCGGAAAAGAGTGGAGCACTCATATTTTTCAGTACTTCTATCCCCTTCACTTGCTGTGTACTCTGGAAATTTCAACTACAACACTGAACTTCTTAGAGTGTTGTTAGCTTTTAAACTGTTGCTGTCCTCCAGCTGTTTACTAAAGAATGAAATATCAAAAGTGATACCCAGCAAATGGAATTAGAGAACTGCAATCTAAGAAGACTTTCATCTACCTTTTAGATGCTGTTTGCTATTCAGATTGTGTCTCATTACAACATGAACTAGGGGATTTTCCTTACTTTGTCTACTATATGCTGCATGATAATATTAAAGGACTAAGTGTTTTCACTAGTTGGTTTTTTTTTTTTCTAATATTAGAAAACTGTTTCTTCATTCAGGAATTTCTTTGGCATGATGTTTTGCATTATGCTTTTGATGTCTTCTCCTGCAATAAAACTGTCTTCAAATACAACCCTAACGCCTAAACACCCCCAAAATGTCCGTCTTGCACTTGTTGCTCTGGCAGTTTGTCAGTCTGAGGCCCATTTGGATCCTGACTTGTTCTTGCCTGTCCTCTACCAGCCATGGCTAAATATGGTGCTATACGGTTCTCATATGGCAGGATGGCTTATTTGACTCAATATGTATAAACCCAGTTCTGGACATCACAGGCATTGAACCAGACACAAAGATCTCCCTCAGCAGTAATGGGATAACAGCCTTCTCTTGGACACTCAGCTGGCTTATTTGACATTGAACTTATGTCACCAATACTAAGTCAGTGCTATCTGCAATGAGTTTTAAGTGTTGCCTTATAAACTAGCTATTCTTCATAGCTTTCTCTGTGTAAAACCTTATTGTATTTCTGTAATCTCTGGGGATACACTCTGAATGTATGTTTTTAACATCAGCCTATCATTTAGCTATTAATCTTTTTAAAAGGTACCTTTCTGTCCTATTTGAATGCAGAGCAGAGCACTTAGGGGATGTTTTCAATTACTTTCTTATGACTGAGGATACTCTGACACTGTATTTTGATCAATGCATTTCTCTGGATTGGGTGGTGCAACTTTGTGGCTACTGCTGCAAGCATCTTGTATCATGAATTTCTCAGTGGCAGTCTACTTTTGCTTATGGGATTTGAATAATTACAATGTATTTTTCCAAGACTGGGTTGCTTTTTTCCAGGTATGATGCTTCAGGTATGATGTCAGTCTTGCTCATGCTCTTTGCTGATGGTTCCCTAGTTCAGCAAACTAACTGTAGATTTTTGCCACGGTGGGAAAATAATGGCTTTTTGGAATAGGCAGTTTTCTTTGAAGAAATTCTCTTGATTTGCTTATGTGCTTCTCTTTGACTAGAGATCTAGAATAGTAAGTTGGACAAGCTCTCTTTTTTAATAGCAGAATCTTTAATCTTACCAAATTTTCTTGTGAATTTCAGACTTTAGTCACTGTCTGCTAAGAAAAATACAGAGGACTTCATATTTGTAAAAATAGCCTTGTTATTAACTCAGAGCTACTAAAAGTAAGCTGCACAAAGTTTAGCCAGCATTTTAACCTATATGATACACAGACTTTTTTCTTTTGCTGCTTCTCTCTACTATTCTGCCTGTGTTCCAAGGAAGTTTCATTTCCTTAGAATGTTTTCTGACTGTTGAAGGTGTTGAAAACTCATCTTTTAGTTATATCCTTCCAGTAGGAAATTGACTGTGGCTGTACCGTGTTGCTTTTGATTCTCTCCAGTGCTGTACTGCCTTCAGTGTGTTTCTGTTTAAAATTCCTTTAGATTAAAGATTTCTTTTTAGTTAAACTGCTGTGACTGAGTCGGTTGGTTGGGAATTTTCATGGATTATATCTGTCAGGAGCACTATTACACAAACAGTTCTCCAAATGAAGGAGTTCTTGAAGTTTTGATACGTATTCTTGACTCTTACCTAAATGCCACATTTTAGGCTTCTGCCCTAGTACAGGTAGGTGTGGTCAGTACCAGGAGTCTTCAGTTCCTCTTGCTATAACTAGAAAGGAAACAGTCAAAGAAGGGGTCACTAAATGTCATTCTGGAGGAGAAGAAATTGTAAGCAAGAATCTTCTGTATCTATAAAAAATCTAGATCCGTGTTAAATTTAATATCCCACTAGAATAGTAAAAAGTTATCTTTGCCTTACTTTGCCTATGTAACTTAAAATTAATTAGGCTCAGTTAATAAGAGAACACGTTACAATGAAAATGGAACTGCATCAGATTTCCTGGTCTGCATGTGTGCTTTTTTTACAGTCTACAAAGTATTACAGTGAAGAATTCCCTTTTAACTTCCTTTTTTTTAAAAACAAAGCATATTATGTACATAAATACAGTAAAGAAAAACATTAGAGGATTTTTTCAAGTGGATTATTCAGATGGAAATATGTTTTCTTTATACTGACAACTTTTTTTCACAGAATCACAGAATATGCTGAGTTGGAAGGGACCCACAAGGATCATAAAGTCCTACTTAAGACCCAGTCTTGAAATAATTGTGGGCTGAAAGCTAAATTTTTTGTTTATTTTGTTTTTCTGTTGGACTCTGTGGATGAAATGTTTACCAATGTCTATTGATCATAAACTATGTTGTAGTATAGAGCTATAGGAGGATACTTCTGCCATTGTGATTACTTCTCAATACCTTTGTTACTGAAGAAATTACATTAAAGTAGCCTTAAGATATTGAAAATTGATTTTGGGTAAAAACATTAATCTGGCTTAGCTGAAATGACCAAATGGCTCTTTATTGTTGGGGAATAATTTTCGAGTATGTTTCCCATTTTTTATTTCAAATATTTTGTTTTAAATGTTGAGAAGCATTTAGGAATGAAATCTATTACATTACTCTGCAGAGTACACTGGTTCAGCTGACTGATAAGTTCATTAACTTCCTTTCTCTGCATTTTAAGGATAATTCCAGATTCCATACTTTGTAACCAACTTAATTGGTAATAATGTGTATAACAAAACTAGACTCTAAAATTTGTTCAGATGGTTTCTCCACTCAGAGAATTCTGAATCTCTGTTCCTCTTGGCATTTTTGTTTCACAGCTCTTACTTCAATTCATTAGGCAGGAGAGAACTAAATGGTTTGTTGTAATTGAACAAGTGCTGTTACTGTCTAGAAAAAAAAAGACAGAGGATGTACAAGCTACCTAACAAAAAATAAGTAAATTAGAGAATGTTCCATAGCCTAAAATTATGATAGTCCAAGATAAAGGTACTACATTTCTTTGAGTATAGAATGTACCTAGAAGCAATATGAAGTCTGAAACAATAAAAAAATAATTCAAAATTTCAAGGCTGCCACTGCGAGTACTTTGCAAAATCAACAGTCAAATATAAAATGCAGAGCTAAGTAAACCCAGTACCAGAGTAGGAGCCAGACATACAACTTAGAATATGCCAAGTAAATCACTAGCATGTGTAGAAGTTTAACGTATCAATTGATACAAGGTTATGTCTTTTATATATTTGTCATACTTGGATCTGCAGGTGAATATACTTTTATGTTTGATGTTTGTTAAAATTTTTTCATTAGGAAAAAACCTCATGGCAACATTGTTGTTCAGTTTTTAAAGGCATACCAGGAAATTCGTAGCTCCAGTCTTCACTGTAATAATCACACCCTCATGTATGCCATAAAACTGTTATGTGCAAAATGGCTTTCTTTGTGCCAAACCTATTTCTATTGCAATTCCAATTGCTTTATAGCACATATTTAATAACTGTAAGTCAATAAATAGTGCAAATGTTGGAAACATTTTTTATAACCTTCAATCAACTTTCTTCTTTTCCTTCTCTGACTTAATAAACGTAATCTTCCAGTCCCGACAATTGTAAATAGAACATGGTGACAGAATTATTCCAAAATACTGAACCAACTAAATAATTAGCTGAAAATAATGATGTAATCTCCTGCTCTCCCTATTATAATTTTAGAATCTGCTTTAGTATTTTTAGCATATATCTGAGTGTATGAATGCACTTGAAGCATTTTTATATCTAAATGTACATTCTTCATTCAAAGGTAGATGTGTGGTTTGGTGACAACTCAGATGCTAAAATAATATGAAGAAGAGTGACTGTAGTGTCACATATATATTAAAATAAACTGACTTAGGAACTCATAGTTTCTTTGGCAATCACAGAATGGTTGTTAGTTTTTTCTAGCAGGTCATTTTATGTTGAAGGTAGTATTTTTAGTTAAAATAAATAGTTTTGTTGGAAATAAACACTAAAGAAAATAAATTTTTCCTATGTTAACTTTTCAGGTTATTAACTCTCAGGTTTTAGTTGGGACACTTTAAGTAGAAACTAATACAGCTGCATTGCTGACAAGTATCCTGAGATTTTAGAATTTTCTAAGACTGCTGGTCAACTACTGGATTAGTCTATTTCATAGAGAAAATGGCAATGATCCTTTAGCATAGATATGAATGTAGGACTAACAGGAAGTTATAAATTTTTTGATTGTGTTGACCTCTATTTTTAATTACTTTTAATCCATCAAAACAAATAAAACTCTTAAAAATGAGTGGCATTAGGCCATTATTTATGAAAGAGATCACAAACCAGACATAAATGCATAAATTACATACATTTTTATATTTTTCTTTGTTTGGATGAAATTCTACTTAGTGGTATCTCTTATTTAAGTATTGCAAAAATATGTGAAAAAGACCACAAAAATTGGGAAATTTGTTTGTTGTTTTCCCAGTTTTGTAATATGTGAGGGACATCATGAAGTCAGACTTAGTTGCTTCGTCTGGATGGGTCTTGTGTTGGCATTGGCTGTTAAGCAGGTGCAGTCCAGAGAGCAAGTTACTACAGGGAGGGCTGATGTCACCATCAGGGATTGGTGCTTAAACAGGGAAATGAACAACAGGAGCAGTAGGCACACCTGCAAAATAATGATCCTCCTCATCATGCAGGTATGCCATTTTTATACAGGATGCCTTGACAATTGGAAAAGAAATTAAAAGGGGAATACAGATACAATGAACAAAAATGAAATACTTTCTTTAAATCATAGTGCAGTTTCTGTTTTCTGTGAAGTCTCTGCTTATACAGATATATGCTGCCAAAAGGCTTTGTTTACTGAAAGGTTTGTTTAGCTTAAGAATAAGGCGATACACTTATTTTAATTACAGCTGTCAGGAAAGAAGCTGAGTTCTAGTTCATAGCAGTGACTTTTTAGTTACATTTTGAAAAGTCACAGAATCATCAAGGTTGGAAGAGAGCTGCAAGACCATTTAGTCCAACCATCAACCTAGCTCCACCATAACCACCCGTTAAACCATATCCCCGAGTACCACATCCAGAAGTCTACCTGCTGAAAATAGTTGCAGTAATTCCTCTGCTGTTCTGTGCCACATGAATAGAGTGTGTATTTCCTACAGGCATAAAGTAGGTGGTAGTAAGGATGGATTAATCACATAATTGTTTTTTTGATTGGTTAGCTTTTGGGATTTTTTTTTTTTACCTACCTTGTCATTTTAGAATTCTAATCTACTTTATCCTTTTAGCTGTGAAAATAAAAAAGCTGCATTGTTGTTATGGATTTTACTGTCTATGTCTAATTTATAAATGATAACATTGTCTGTATTTTTGTTTCGTTGATTGTTAGCTCTTGTGGTAAATCCAAAAAAGTTGTAACATGGCCCATTTTTAAGCAGAATACAGAAATATACTCACTAATCTTTGCTGGAGGACTTACCCAAACTTTCTTAACACAGTAAATGAAACTCACCATTTTGGAGAACATTTGGATTAAATAGCCAATTGTGCTTTTTTAGATGTTGTTCCAAGTTCTGAGGGTGATATTTTATCCATTAAGATGCTGACAACCTTACAGAGCTTCACCTCACACTTTTTCATTGCAGCTGAAATTACTGGCAATATGTAATGATTTTTCGCTGAAAGACTTCAGTTGAAGAAGTGTCTGTGAAGTGATGTTACTTATAAAGTATTAAAGAAGAGACAAAACCTGCAAAGAAATATTTACATTGTAGCAAAGAAATACACTAAATACATAGGTTTATTTTTATAAGCTCTAAGCAGTTGTTTATTTCCTTTTTCTAGTGACTGTGATATTGCTAGCAGTATGAATGTGCTGTTTTTGTAAAATGCCTGTTCACCTGTTCAGTCGAAGTCTGTTGAAGAGCTAGACTTTTGTCAGTTCAAAGAAAGGTTACTAAAGTACTGAAAAACATAAAGCGGAACCAGAGTCTAGATATTTTAGTGGTATCTTCCAGTGGCTTAAAGCAAAATTTCAAGGAAGTGGTAGAGGGAGAAGTACAGAATGACACTGTTGCATACTATTTTTTTTCCCTCTGGTAACTGAAGGTTAAATGAGTAGCAAGCAGAATGCCTTAAACAAGATTGGTATATTGATTAAAACGCTGATTTAACAGCTCGCTTTCTCCCTTTGGAAACCTGGAAAAGATAAGCCAGCTGCTGTCTAAGAGTGCTGAGTGTCCACTGAGAGTACACTATCTATCATCACAATATGGTGATGAGAGGTGTTTTATGTTTGTGTTAATTTCCCCCACTAAATCAGTAATTATTACAATCCTGTCCCTGCTGTTTACCCTGCAGCTGTTTTTCCATTTGTCGAGAGAGCGGGTGTTCTCAGAGGACCGCACACGCTTCTATGGTGCAGAAATTGTCTCTGCCCTGGACTATCTGCATTCTGGGAAGATTGTGTACCGTGATCTCAAGGTAAAAAAAGAAAGGAAAAAACTAATCAAATTTTTGTTTTTGCAGAGACTATGGGGACAAACACAAAGTAATTATAAGGTTGCACTATTCAGAGTTAATGGGAAAAAAAAAATCTGTGTTCAGTTTTAAGTTCTGTGTGTGCTGGAGGAAGTTGTTTGATACAGTAATCTCTAGATGGGTACATTCCCTGACTTTAATGATTAAAAAATGAAACAGAATCCTGTAATAACAACATCTGAAGAAGATTTAAACTTCTGATCCTCATCCTCCCTACCCCCTGCCCTATTACTTAACTTGGATTTCAACACAAATCTCAAATACAATTCTCAATGTCCTCAAACGAGGGAAATGGTGAATTGGGACAATGTGACTGCATTCTGTTTATCTCAGCAAAGAGGTATGTTTTTATGTGATGTGAAGACATTTAAAACAGTTCAGAATACTTCAGTAGGAAAAGAATTTCAGCATTAATTTCAAAATTATTTTGTCTTTTGTATCTTGGGAAAAAATCATATTAATAGAATGTGGTTTGTCTTAGATTTGCCTGCATATACCGTTGTTTATCCTCTGTTGCCTGGCACTCTGTTGATCCAGGTACTCTGTGTCACTGTATGCCCATGTTCTATGGAAAATAACTTCTGTTTTCAGCAGGAACATTTTCTAACTTATGTAGGAGAAATCTCTAAATTCCATGATAAGGCTGTTTTATTTCTGTGTCAAGCCTTTAATTTCATGTACGGGAAATTTTGCTTTCCCACTGTACATGCACACTAGTGGAATTCATTCATGGAATCCTTTGTACAGGAACCAAGGAGAAGGAGGCAGTGATAGGCAAGTTCTGCTCAGGGAGGCAGACAGAAAACAAAATACTGCGTTACCTGTTTGTAGCAGAATCTGTCATACTAAGAGAAAATGCTGTGGCATCTTGGAAAAATATGGAATTGTCTGGTCAAGGAATGATAGGTGAATTTTTATTTAAATTCTAAGTAATAAAGAAGGAGAAATTTGGTATCTTTACTCTTTTATTTCTGGTGTCATCTACTTTAGTTTTCTTTGTATGACACTTAGACTCAACAGGAAATCTATACCTTTGAATTATATTTCAGGCTTTATACAGACTTAGAAAGACAGGGCTATGGTTGTTCTATATTGGTATTTTCACTACGTACCTTATAATTTGAAAAAAAATGTTTTTTGTTGAGAAAATTTGTTCAGAATATGTTTTGGAAAGTGATATTAGCCATTTCATATTTCAAAGCAAGAATCATGTATTTAAAAAGCAGTGCAAAGCATGCAGAGGTACATATTGACCACTTAAGAAGTGTCCTTTGCAAGTAGACAAAGAGGAATTTACTTCAGAGTTTTGGTTTTTATCAGTAGCTGCCTTATCCCTACTTCTGTCTGTTATTGAAAAGGTTGCGGAAGATGGAGGTATTTTAAGGATTTATGGATATATGCTGTTTCATGACTGTATAGTAAGTAAACTGTATCTTGACAAGTGAAGGTCATGTTAGAGCAAAGGAAACCTATGAATTCTTACCAAATGACAGCCATGGTTGCAACCTTGAATTGCTTGATTGCATCTTCAGAATGTTTAGAAAATTCTTTTCCTTTTGTTCTATGGAAGATGCACCAAATTTGTAAAACTTCAGAATAAAGGGTCATGCTTTCATTGACCTGAGATTTACTATTGTAAACTATATTAAAGTATTAACTAATTATTTAACCTGTATGACAGTAAACACTGTTAAATGCTGTAATATAATAGATGCTGTAACTTTTTTTAATTAAAACCAAATTACATTCTGTTGCAAAGATAACTCTATCTTTTTTACAAAATTGGTGTAATGCATCAATCTGTCCTGTTAAGAAATACTAAGGGAACATTTTTCTCCCCAATACACAGTTAGAAAATCTAATGTTGGATAAAGATGGACACATAAAAATTACAGATTTTGGACTTTGCAAAGAAGGAATCACAGATGCAGCAACTATGAAAACATTCTGTGGTACTCCAGAATACCTGGCACCCGAGGTATGATTTAGAATATGTTCTTATAATACAGTACAAAATGTTTCTTTTCCATTTAATTTTAGACTGACAGTTGCCTGATTAATACTATACAGTTGTTATTCAGAATGGAATGTGCTGCTGTTCTTTGAGGTGATTGTATGTATATTGATGCTTTGCTTTGTAGTGTTTGAAAAGGCCTCTAATGTGCGCTTTCCTTCTCATGTTTGCCTTCCTCTGTTAAAGTTTTTATCTTTCGATGATTTCTTAAAAAATAATTTTCCATCTGTCTGTCACTTGGAACATATGATCCTGCCTAACTGAGCTGTATAGCCAGCATTTATATAGCCTCAGTGGAGGCAAGGGAAAATAGGAAGGTACTGAGTTTGGGTTTTATCTGAACTCCCTAGTTGCAGGAAGAGGGAGTTGAAATTTTAGATATTTCTGCTGAAAACAGTTCAGTGTATAAACCTGAGAAGTGGTTGAGGTGGACACCAAAACTGAGCTGTTTCCTAGTATGTAAGCTGAAGGGATATCACAGGGTATGTCACCTCATCTTTATGATTAGCTAGCACCAGGAGTGCCAAGCATCACACTTCTCCAGAATTGATAAAAAGATGGACATGAGGGCATTGTTTTGGTACCTTTTGCAGCTCTGGTTTGGCCACTTGAGAATCTGTTGTAGAAGCCCAAGTCCATCCAAATGATCTGCTCTGTTATTATTAGTGCTGACAGCTTTGCCACTGATGTCTACTAAAAGAAAGCAAAGGAAGCAGTATCAAGATTGGGTTTTTGTCCTGTCTGCCTTCAGTCAACAGTACTGATTGTGATGCTTGGAAATGTAACTCTGACTCTCCCCAGGGGCTACCAAATGCAACTCCAGTGTTGACATGAAAGACAGCTTAATTTTTTTTTACTTAATGCCAAGGATTCTGTGAATGTTGAATTAGCCCTTATTCTTACTCTTGTCAGCATTCAAGATTGCTAATTGACATAGTGCATACCTGATACTGAGATACTTTCAAGTCAACCTAAAGGGCTTTAAAAAGGCCCTTCAGTTCTACCATTTGTTTTAAGAAGGATTTGAAGGGTTTTCTGAGGGATTTCCCACCTTTTGCAGCAACTCAGCACCACCAGAAACTTCCTATTGTCTTTAAAAGAGGAACATACCTTAGTTTGAAGGGAGGAGGCACTGATTCAGGGTAGCTCTTTATTCTCTTACTATCAGCAGAACTGAATCCTGAGTAGCAGCCACAAACCCTGGAGCCTGTTTCAACAAGCAATTTAGATTGCATTTTGATTTTTATTCTAAATCTTACAATTAAGGGATGTCAAAGAAACTGATATACATCACCTTCTGTATAGTGCTGTCTGGAAATGAGGATTTTAGGATGTTTGCATGTTTGAGAGTCTTTCTAAATCTCTGAAGTTTGAGATCTTTTCCAGTTTACACTCAGGGAGGAAATTGAAACTGCTGATAGTTGGTTATGAGTCAATATGGTATGTGGAGTTGATGAAACCATTTTGGATCATAGCAAGATCTTTTGATACATTCTTTTTCTCCAACAGTAAAGGAAATATCAGGAACCACCAACTTTCTCCTTATCCATCTGGTACTGTCTTCCTTAATTCTTTCAGCAGTGAAGAGAAATCTGAACAGTCATTCTCTCACACTGCAGGTTTGAAGTACCTAAATAATTTTGGTTGGCTAAATGTGTTCATTTCAGCTGTTTGGTGAGTCACCAACTACATGAACTGTGAAGATAAACTCGCTGATACCTGACCTCCTTAGTAGAATTCCATCCCCTAGACTCCGAGAGAGACTTGCTTGCAGATTGTTGCTATTCTGTTTGGCAATTTCTGACCTCTCCTTTGTGTTTAGTGCAGAGACACTTAACAGTTATCTACATTTCAGGATTCCAGAACTATTTTTGGCCTGCTTTGAATCTTTTATGGCTACTTAGAAGAAGTTGCAGATCCGCCTGTTTGGCTTGGTTACAGTGGCCACATTTCTTGTGTGTGCTGGCTCTTAGCCCCTCCATTGTCTTCTTGTCAGCAGTCTTGAAAACATTCTCAAATAGTGCAGATATCCCATTCAGTTGCTTTCATCTGCTTCTCCTTCTCTCACCTTTGAAAACGTTAGCTCTCTTTCATCAAGCTTGGCAAGTTTGATTCTGGGTTTTAGACACTTACCACAGGCTACTCGATCCAGTTTGCTTTTCTATCCTCTAGAAGTCCCACTTGTCTCCTCCACCTCCCATTATGAATATTTTTGGAGACCCACCTTGTAAAAATCTGTCTTGAAGGAAATTGGCTCTTTGTTAACCCTGGGAACAAGAGAACTCATTCCCTTTTACCTCAGAGATAAAGTGTTTAGAGCAAGCAACCTAGATAGGTTACTGATACAGCATAAGACGACTCAACATCTTTATCCACACATCCTTATGTAAAAGAGTGAAATTAGCAGTATGTGAACAACCTTGCTAAAAATAAACTTTCCCTTTGTACTCTCTGCTACTACAATAGTGTGTACCAGTGCATTGGCTGGATAGTTGCTCACTTGAGACAGTTGTATCTATTTTTATAGATGGAGCAGCTGGCTGATAAAGGGACCATCAAGAGACTGGGTCCTCCAATCTATTTGTGTGTGTGTGTTTCAGAGAATGAATGTGCAAAGATCACTTCTCTTTGCAGTTCATGCCAGAGAAATGATTACCAGATAGCAAAGATTTACTACCTTGTGACAAACTTCAGATCATGAGAAGCAAATGTAACAACTGGACTTTAATCCAGTTCCCATGGTGAATTCCTGCTTGTCTATCCCAAGACAAATGGCAGCATATACTTATGTTTTGCCTGGTTGTGGTAAGTGTAAAGGTAGATACCTTTTAGCCTTTCTTTAGAAGCAAGATATTCTCCATTTATGGGTAGAAATCCATTTGGCATCTGTCCTTTTAGTAACACCCTTGCATCCTCTTCTTTCACCTGTGTCAGTTGTGGTGTGTGCATCTCTTCTGCAGGCCTTTTAGTTCAGCTAGTTCAGCTTCCCATGTACTTGTTAGCTGATGTAACATACAGGGGTAGCCTGAGGCGGCTGCCACCACCCAGGAAGCAGCTGTTCATGAACCTTGTACTGGCAGGGATCTATACCCAGGTTGAGAACTGACTTAACATTTTCTTTTGTATTAATTCAGTTTTGTGAATTTGGTACCAAACAATACTTGGTTCTCCAAATGCCTTTTGCACCATTGTTTGAGGCATAGAGTCCTGCTTGATATTCCATCTTTTTGCAAAAACTAGATTGCAGTTGCTTCCAGCAGGAAAACAGGGAAGTAGCTAAGCCAGAGTAAGGTGTATTTCCTTCTTGCATGACATTCTCTCTGGTGAAGGTGTCCTTGTCAATCCATAGAGAATTATTTCCCAAGGCAATTTCAGAATTACTCTTGATCAGGAAATTAACATACCTGTTGCTGCGTTTTCCTCACAAACCTTATGTTTTGGAGATCAAAATAATTCTTTCAACCCCCTGTTGAGAAGGCTCTTTCATCTCTTATGGATGGGCCCTGACCTTTCATATAGGACCTGACACTGACTGTGTAGATAATTGGCAGATCCAGAAAAATGCCCCTGCCCGTGCACAGACCAAATGGATGGCAGGGCATAGAAAAAAACTAATGAACTTGCCAGGTTAGAGTCAGTTTTTGTCTATGGCAATAGAATTATTTTCTAGACTGTCACTGATTTATCATTTGTGGAACTCATGTGGAAGTTTATGTATGCCTTCAGCATGCACTGTGCTGTTTGGGGTGTGCAGGGCTTCTGGCTATGTAGTCCATAGGTACATTCCTTTTCTATTCTTCTCTCCTAGTCCTTCCCTGTTATCCAACGCCAGTGTTCTACAGTTTGAAGAAAACTAAAATAGCATTGTCTGTGTTTATCTTACATTGTTATGTGTCAAGCATAAAAGATGGTAGGGTATGAACACATCCTCTAAGAAGAAAATAGTTGCTACTGTCAAATAGCAGGGCTTACATTTATTGCCATACAGATCTACCTTTTATCACACTTATTGAAGAATGAGTAAGTAACTTTTTATTTGTGAAATCATATAGTCTTTTGAGAATAATTTGGCTGTCTGATAGATAGTGAAATTCCTCTTTCATCTGCAGTAGAACTAATGCAAACCTCATTTTTGTGTATGTGTGTAAATGTAATGGTAATACTTAATACTTCCCTCTGCTGTAAGAATCTGTGGTATTCCCTGTTTGAAAGGTATAAAATATGTTGTAATTTCTCACTTCTTAGTAGTTTTTCGGGAAGAAGAGACTATTTCTTAGGAGTCTGTTTCTGTTGTTACTCTTCAAAGTAAGCTGTCAAAATTAAAGATCGTTGTAGTGTCACAAAATATTGATAGATCCAATGAGAAAAAGATGAGTTGTGATCCCATTTAGGAAACAGAGATGTATTCTTGACTTTTTTTCAGAAAACATGTTTCTTTTGCAGTTTTGCAGTGACAAAGACAGGACAGTATCACTTGCTCAATAAAGAAAGGAAAAAACTGAGAAAGTACTTGTAAATATACCTTGTAATATACCTGTGAGACATTTAAAAGCAGTTTGAATTTTGATAGTTTTCAGTTGACCATTTGTCATGGATTTACTCTGGCCGGATTTCAAACCCCTACAAAATTGCTAAAAGTTGGGAGGGGTCACACAGGCAAGACAGACTTGATGTGAGGATAATATTAAAATTTATTGCTAACAGGATAAAAACTAAAAAGTAATAAAATAAACAGTGTTAAACACACTTTCTAACCACCCCTCGTTCCCCTGCATCAGTGCAGGAGGAGAAGTCCCTTCTTTACTCTCAGGGTGATAGCTCTTCCAAATCTACCACACTTGAGAGTCCTTCTTCCATTATCTCCAGGGCGACAGCTCTTCCAAATCTGTCGCACTTGAAGGTCTCTCTTCTGTGGGGTGCAGGGGGGTCTCTGCACCCCAATGGTCCTTCACGGGCTGCAGGGG